GTTGGCTTTGAAGTTGTGTTCCTCCATGTGCCTGACACATGCAATAAATAATAATAAAAGCTGACAAATGCGCAAAGACTTTCCGACAAACTAATACAAAATATGATATATAATATGTTCTATTTACTCGCTACATAATTTTAATATGACAAATATTATACATTTTATTATATTATATTACCGTACTAAAGTATAGTACAGTTATGCTATATTACAGTTACAGTAATAATAGTTATATTCACATCACGATTTCTTCCTTGGTGTCTTCTTTTTCGTCGTAACACTTTTCCGCTGTTTTTGATGAGCTCCTCGTTTTCTAACGACTCTTGATTTCTTTGCAAGCTTGAGGCGGTTTCTGAACTTCTCCACCGTCTCATCCACGTACTCGACTTCTGTCACTGTTTGCACATCGCCGTAATTGTCTGTCGAACGAGGTGGACATCTGCAGTAATCCCCATCCAACCCTGGTGGGCCTGGCATTCCATCCGGCCCAGGTGGTCCATCCTCTCCAGGTTCTCCAGGGTTTCCTGGTGGTCCTGGAGGACCCACCGGTCCAATATCTCCAACGATGGCGTCACTTCCATTTGGGCCATCGGCCCCTGGTGCACCAGGTTTACCCATAGGTCCCACTGGTCCCGGTTCACAAAATGCGATCTGTGAAGACCTTCCAGGCATGCCAGGAGGTCCTGGAGCCCCTGGTACTCCTGGTGGTCCTGGGTCGCCGACTGGCCCTTCTGGTCCAGGTTCCCCTATGGGGGCGTCTACGCCAGGAATTCCCGGTAAGCCTTCGAGACCTCGCTCTCCAGGAGGCCCGGTTGGACCACGTCGTCCAGGTGGTCCAGCAGGACATTTGATACATTCAAGTGTTTCTTCAGATCCGTAAATCGGTGGACCATCGACACCACGCATACCTGGCTTTCCAGGTTTCCCATCGTATCCAGGTAAACCTGAACGCCCTGGACGACCAGGTGGTCCAGGTGGGCAATTCATGGGTTGAGGAGCGCAGCCGCAGTTGTCTTCCTGCTCACCGGAGCGCCGTTTGCGGTTACTAACAGCTCTTTTGTATCTGATAACGTCCTGAGGAGCTGGATGCATCTTGTTCCACGCCATATTTGCCAGGTCCTGCAAAAACCGCGTTCTTTCAAATAATGAAAAAAAGTGCTAAAATCTATGTGAGATTACCTTGAATTCAACCAGTTCACTAATCGTATGCTCGTAAAATCCATTGATATCGTTGACAAGATAGCCTACAAATAAAAGGCAGGCGGTGGTGCCGAGAGCGATGATCAATGCAGCACAAGTCACGATCGTAGTGCTAGCGCTCATGTGAACTGAAATAAAAAAATTTCTTCACTCGAACCCGTCCTTCAGAAGGCGGAGCCACAGCGTAGGGGCAGAACTGCCCTGACTAGTATGTGGATTACTAAGCATTTTTTATTGCAAGACGCTCAAAAAATGATGAAAAAAGAAGATTAAAGTTGATTCTAAATGAAGTTGTTGCATTAGATGCAAGCCACTGATCCTGACTCAATTACCGGCGAGCCCCACCCAATGGTGATAGTAACTAGTATTCATTTCACCGGGAAAAGCACAGCACGATACGGCGGTATTATCCGATTCCTGCGATTTTCGCCTTTCCTTTCATCCACGTCCATCTTTTTGACCCTCATGAAGGTATCAAAAGTATCCATTTGAAAAAAATCAAAATTTTTGAGAATTTTTCCTAAGGAAGGGGAGGCTGATACACGGGGAAACGATTGGACGTTTAAAGTGATCAGAGAGAACAGCAGAGAAGATAGAGGACTGATAAAAGGGGAAACGATCCGACCCTGAAGATGATCAGAGGGAACAGCAGAGACATTCGCAGCTATTATATCAGCAACCCTTAGTGACTGAAAGACAAAACAGAAAATATGCTTCTCCCAATCCCGGGACCGAATATGAAAGCTCAGGGAGGGCGGAGAATGCTGTGTGCGCCCCGGAGGAGCGTGATGAGGAGTCCTCTAAAATTGTGTTCTCTTGATTAGGACTGTGAAGGAGGATTCCACGACATATCGAATAACGAAGAAGAGTACCTTGTAGAAGGACAGGCGGATCTGTAAGGGTGCGGATCGACTCGCAATTTCCCGGAAAGGAGATGTCCGAGAAGCATGGTCCTCGCTGCCGCTATCGCCGGAACGCCCATCGAATGGCTAACCACTATCCGCAAGTCCCTAGCCCTTTAGCAGAGAGAGAGAGCGTTAGCGTTGAAGAGGGCAGCACCGATGAGAATCGCATCAATGCGGGAATCGGCGGCAGCAAAGAGTGGCTCTAGGATGTACAATATGTGCGTCAGACAAAAAAGCCATAGAGCAAAGAGACCATTTAAAACGAAAAAGATTCCAGACAATTTCTGCAATCCCCCCTCTCTGGCCGTTGCTACTCGCTTGGACGAGTTTGCGACCTGTATAACCGAGACCGTGAGGACGTAGTAACCGCGACAACTGTTTGTGCCAGCAAACATTTTGCTTAGAGTGGAGTGACGCTAGATGAACAACTGTTAAAAGTAACGATTCGACTGAGATGGTCTTGAGATGATCTTCTGAAAAAGCGAATAATGGAGTATGCCAACACGGATTCATTCGGGGTGTGCCAAGCTTATTAGCTTATGTTCATGCCAACTCCATTTTGCGCGAATTTTGAACGTCAACTCGAAATGCAAAAATTTGTCACCACGAGGAATCGAACTAGGGACCCCTTTTCTGGTATTCAGAGGGCCGTTCAGGAAAAATGAACCATGGTTCTGTGGTTCCCGCATGTGCCCCTATATCATGCAAGAAACCATTTTGAAAAAGCTTGGCACACCCTGAACGACCTCCTTGTTAGTTCCATAGGTCTCCCAACATGACAAGAGACTAACTTTAATCGACAGGCCACCTAAGAAGAAAGCAGAAAACGCGGATGAAGAGCTTAACGCGATAACCAGCTCGAGTTTATGGCGTGACCAAATGACTTTTATAGGCGTGATATTGCGCTAAACTTACAACATCTATTTGGATTCAGTCAAACGGTTTTTCTCGTCGCTTTTAATATTGAACGGATTTCGTCACGTTTTCTGAGGCCTTTTCCCGTCTTACTTCTTTGATATGGCTCGGCTTTTCCTGATAAACCGGCTTTGTTTTTCTTCAACCCTCGGAACCAGCAGATTTATTTTTGCCGAATTCTATTTTGGGTGCTCTTCAGAAGTCTTCACGAAGCATAGTTCCTGTATTTATCGAATACCACCCGGGCGACCATTCCCATTAGGACAAATTTTCTTCAGAATTACCTAAAAATTGAGGTGGAACATGTTTTCCTAACAGGTCTGGAATTAAACCGAGTCGGTTTATCCAAAGCGTGTCTCAAGCGAATCCCGTCACACTGTTTTGAATATTTTGTCGGCGATTATTTTTACAACGTCAGGTTTACATCTTAATATCCAACATGACAGGCTTCGAGCTTGTCGCATCCCACCATTTTCGGTGGTCTCATTATATCGTCAACAAATAGCGGATTTCTGCAAATCCCCTGCTAGTTTCGGATTATTACCAACGTTGAAATGCCATATAGGTCAAACCGAGGATAACTAAAGCATGAGTTTAGTTATCTGCTATATCTAATAAAAGCCACAGTCACTATAGAAGGTTTCAAAAGTATGCTGAGCTAGGGCAAAAATAGCTCAGCCGATACACTACCCCGATCACGTTTCTCCCTGGCAGGTGCAATAACCCATCAAAGCAACGCTTCACCCTCGGTCAAGATCCCAGATCAGTTTACGAATAGCGAACTGCGGCCAATGTGAGTGAAACACATTGCCTCATGGTCAGCCGGAATTTGGACCCAGACCCGATAAATGTCCTGTTATCGCATCAACGAGAAGCAGCAGTTGACCATCCCAAATTCGTGAGCAATGATGGTACTAGCTGCGTTTTGGAAAGCCAAAGTTTCAGTTTAATTCCATCGGATAGGGCTTATCGAATTTATTTGCTTGACTTCCAACCAGGAAATGCTTTGAAGATATGGAACTTTGGAAGTAACCTAAAAACGTTACTGAGGCGAGCTTACCTGGTGGAATCACAGTCGCCGTGGCTCTGCGCCAAAAACGAGTCTCATATTCGTAATCAGGGCACCCACTTACCCTTATAGGAAGTTACAGGCAAAAAGAAAGCCCACGAAAGCAGTTTTAGTGTTCATATTTGTAATCAGCAACAAGACCTCAATGATGTACCTAGGTCTCCTTTCGAAGTTCCATTTGAAGTTCAAAACATTCCCTGGTAAGTATACCAATGGGAACGAGAAACATTTAAGCGTTACAAAATATGACAGGTTTTCGTCAAAGGCACACCCCAAGATCAATTCAAAAGCATAAGTATAGGTGGGGCGAACCGATATTGAAGAAAAAAGAATAAGACACCACCCTACACCCGGAAAATGGAAACCTTCTCCTCTATGTTGGAAGTTTCTGAGAGGCAAAGAGCGAGGTGTTACTGGGCGCTATAACTATAAACTCCGCTTTTACTGAATACATGGGGTAATGAGGAGGAGAAATACGTACTGCAATTGCCGCCTTTCGAGACTATGGATGGCTGTGTGAGTTGATTCTATTAGGTTGTCTCATAAATAGTGTCGCTTTTTTTCAACCAAAAAATTTTCATCTAAATCCCCATGCTTTTACATCGAGTCATATACCATTCGAAAGAGAATTGTCTGCTCTACAAGATGCTATGTTCTCTTCCACCTATGTTCCAGGGTTTTCAAATTTTAGGCCTGCGAAATGGGAGGTCCAGCCGACAAAAATTGACCAAACCGACAACTAGCTCTAACTTTTCTTCCCTTGGGAGAAATCAATCAATGATGTACCCTCTACTTACTCATGACCTCTTCTAAACATTCCACTCTTAGGTTGCCGAAAAAGCTTTGCCGTGTTTCTTTTCGAATTGGCTGACCGATAAGCCATAGCAATTTTCAAATTGAAATTGTTCCTCGTAAACGCCATTGTTTCATATCAAGTGGTGTTCCTTTTGTGAGCACTTCTTCTGCTCTATTCGCTCATTTGTTTTGTTTTTATGTTTGTTGGGAATTAGTTCGAATTTTAGGTGTTTAGGAATAAGGTGTTTTATCCACGAAAGTGACCGCATTTCTTTGAAAAAAATTATCCCTGAGAAAATGAAAATCAATCACAACCACACAAAAAAAACCTAATTTAGTCATAACTTCTTCTCAAAATTCTACTAGTTTTTCAATGTCTCGGCCGTGAAAAAAAAATTTCGAGCTAATCTGAATGGTGCTTGACCGTCGAGTTCTGGTTGAAAAACCAGGTCTGGAAATGGAACGACGCGACTTGTTGGGAAACCTAATAGTGTAATGTTCAGAAGAGGTCATGTATAAGTAGAGGGTACATCATTGATTGATTTCTCCCAAGGGAAGATAAAGTTAGAGATAGTTGTCGGTTTGGTCAATTTTTGTCGGCTGGACCTCCCATTTCGCAGGCCTAAAATTTGAAAACCTGGAACAGAGGTGGAAGTGGAACATAGCATCTTGTAGAGCAGACAATTCTCTTTCGAATGGTATATGACTCGATGTAAAAGCATGGGGATTTAGATGAAAATTTTTTGGTTGAAAAAAAGCGACACTATTTATGAGACAACCTAATAGATTTATAAGCGGAAAGCGCATCTGCGAAAAGTATTCCACAACCATGCTTGGTTTTTCTATTTCATTCTCACCCTCAATCAAATGCACAGTTACAAAGAAATCATGTGTTACTTTCTTCGAAAAGTAGACAAGAAGTGCGAAAAAGAACGATGTTGGGAAAAGAAGCTGAAAGCGCCAAGGGGACTCTGAAATTTTTCTTGAGAGCGAAGGAGAGACACGACGAGACGGGAAACGAAGGAGAGCTTGTAAGAAACGAGTAGGTGCAGACGATTTGTATGCTACGCTTGACAAGAATGGCAGCGGTTGCAGCGGTCACTAAGGCACTTGCCCAACACTGCAGCAGGGCGCGGCTAGTACCACTGTTATTATGGGTCCTGCTACTACGCAAAGAGAGGGTCTCTTCGGCGATCATATAAGTATCATTATGGCGAAATTTGGAAGCTATTCGATCACAAACAAAGAAACTAAGAAGCTTTGAAAATTGGCCCACCTTCTTAGTTTTTAAGCTTATGTCGAAACAATTCCAAATTTCATAGTTATGCCGAAAAAGTTTATAATCTTGCACAACATTATAACCCATAATTTTGATTAAGAATGGATCTACTTCAAGTATTTTAAGAAAAAGTGACACTTACTTGGCCGGTTGCGGGGAC